AGTGTCTTGTTTCGGCCTGGGGTGGGTCTGAGGTGAGGTGATATCGAGATTATTATTTGTTTTCCAGGCTCGCGCCAGCGTCTTGTTTCGGCCTGGGGTGGGTCTGAGGAGCAGGGATATTGAGATTGTTGATGACCAGTGAGTTGAGATAGGATGGCTAGTTACATGACCTCGATTCTTGGCTAAGTATGATTCTTGTGAGATGTAGGCCCAGTGTTGTTCTTTTCATACATAGATCGGGATTGATATTTAATTATTTACAATTCGAGACATATGGTATATACATGAGGGTTTCCTTGTTTGGATTATTTCGCTCGACGTACTACGTCTCATGTTGTAGGTTTTTAGGTATTAATTCCATCTATTGTATGTCCCTGATACTTGGATGATTGTTCTGATCGCTAGCTGCATGTTTTTGTCACCTGAATGATTTACGGATTCTTATGATTATCATGTGGATTGCATGTTGATTTTGTTAGATTACTAGTTGCACGTTCTTTTGTTATTTCGGTTTTCGTATCGTTTTCCGCTTGTGTTTTCGGTCGTTCTATTTTCTTTGTGGGGTCGGGTCTTGCCGTGCGTCATGCACCTGACGTACACCTGTTTTCTCTGGTGTACGTCAGACTTAGATAAAGAACAGGTTCAGCTGGGAGATCATTAGGAGCCAGAGGATTCTCAGCAGGAGTGCCCTGCAGACGGAGCAGAAGAAGCTGAAGCTTAGTTATTGGTCCTCCGTTTTCTTTTGTACTACATTCCATTTCTATTTGATCAGTTTATTTTGTATCTTTTCAGTATTCATTTGTTCATACTTGTATAAGGGCACGTTTGACCCGAATATTATGTCTGGGATGATTTACCATTGATGATATGTCTATTTTTATTCTGGGTTGTCTTTATATTCTTGCTATGTGTGATCGGGGACCTGTACCTTCGCTTTATTTCTTGACGCTTAGCGTATTAGATTGAGAAGACGGGGTCTAGCACTTATCTCTTCTTAGTCTAATACGTCGCGGGCTTGCTCGCGTTCCGATTCCCGGTTATTTTAGGAAGCGGGGCGTGACAATGAGTATTCGTTACTTTGGTTGTTGTTTCTTACTATGATGAGACAATATCGCACCTACAAGACAGTGTCAGGAAACCTGGTGCTTAACACGCTTAACTATTCAAGGCTAGACAAAGATCAATTGACATGTTTCCTGATTGCATTGCTTGGCCAACTCTTATTTATATTGGGGACAAGATTTAAGAGTGTGATGAATCAAGGGTAGACCGTGGTGTTCATGTACGCTTCTTTGAGGGATCGAAGGTACTTGAGCAGACATGGTTGATCAGATCTGGGGTATGGAACATAGCATACTAACACTATTTGTTGTTTATTTTTCTTTTATGGAGATCGTTATGTCGGTCCTAATGGAGCTGACTGCAATCCTACCTGCTTGCAGGTTCTCAATTGTCCATGCTGTACTAACGATGTATAGACATGAATTTGAAAAAGAAGCATATTCTCAACGACTCGGGGGGTCAGCTTAGGGAGCAACAGATATCACCCACCCATTTGTGTGAGTGGATATTATTATAAAATAGACACCGAAATAAGTGGGTGGATAATATCTTATCTTAGAGATAAGATATTCACAATCTTAATAAGTGTTGGACTCTATCTCTAGGCCCTTTTTATATATAGATATAGGGTTTTCATGATGGGTAAACGAGAGAATATACCAAAAACCTTTACATAGCCGTCATCTCCTTCTCCGTTCGAATTAGTGCTTTATGTAGTAGTAGCAGGGTGATATCCTGGGGCTTCTAGGTTGCACGGTGTGGCTACCGTTCGGCCACTGATCAAGAAAGTTGTGATGATCCTATAAGAAAGATCTGAATCGGTAACCCTAAACTTGTTGTTTATATTCCTAGGTACATGCTAGCGTTTCTTTATTTTCTGATGTGCATAATCTAGTTGTAGATTATCCTTATTGCATGCATATAATTATCCGGATCCCACAAATTCTTTAATACTCCATCCATATTTGAAAATTTAAATATATATGTTACTTGTAATATTGACATATTTTTCAAATTCTTTATTGTTCAACCATTTATGCACGCTTTGTCTTGATCTTTTAGAACTCAATAAATTCCTCCCAAATTACAAGATAATAAACCATTCTTACTGTTATGGTGCTTGGATTCAGATACTATTTAATTAGGTAATAAATGGAGAGGGTCCAAGTATCTCAATCTTTAGAGTAAATTTAAATTTGAAGTGATAAGATAACCGCATAGGATTAAAAAAAATCTAGTTTTGTGACATATAGTTTGATGTTTGATTGACATCTTTAAATCTCTAAGATATATTCAAAAAATAATGTTATCTCTTCATTTATATCAATTATATGTAGAGTCCTTTACAATTAATATAAAACGTTCAATTTTCCATTTTTATAATTTAAAACCTAATAATTAATAATAATTACTATTAATTAGTTGAGATTTTTCCACGTAGTTAAGTTCATGGTCAAAGAGTTCTAAAACAGTTCTAGAACACACGCCCTCAATGTGCAAAGTACGTGATATTTTATGAGGGTATTCTTGAGATTTTAGAAAAAAAAAATTAATAACTAGGGAAAAATGTTTCAAGGCCCCAAAAAAAAAATGGGATGTGAGTAGCCCCCCTGTATTTTTTTTGGTGTGACAAAGCCCCCAAAACTCAACTTAATAATGATTCAGCCCTTTTTTCATTTCCAAGACAACTTTAAGAGAAAAGTTGAGGCGATAAGACCAAAATACCCATTTGTACCCGTTCCCCCCGAGCCTGGCCGCCTTCTCTCTCTCTCTTCTCTCTCTCTCTATCTTCTTCACCGCAAACCTCCATTAGCTTGCGAACCCATTTTCAAAACCCCAGTTTCACTCAAGCGGCTAGGAAATCTATTTTGAAAATGCCCCAAAAAAATTTAAGTAAAATGGCTAAGAACCGTAAGCGTAGCAAGTATGAAGTGGACAACACTCAAACAGAACAGGACGTTCGTCACCGGCGTCGGTCGGCACGATTGGCGCAGGAGGAAATGCCAAACTTATCCGCCTCCGCCTCTGCCTTGATATCGCCCGCCGGCAATTCTGCTCCGACATCCTCTGAGGATGAGGAGAGTAACGAGGCGACGGAAACCCTATTGAGCATGAAAAGTCTGGATATTCGCGAAAGCAAGAGGAGACGCTCGCTGGAGGATGTGTCCATCTCAAAGAAGAAGTAAGTTCCCAAGCATCAATAAATCTTGTTTGTTGTTAACGTTTATGCATAAGTGTCAAGTATTAGCTATTCATGTTAATAAAACGTAATTTTGACTAAGTTAATGCCTTTACGGTTAATTGTTACCTAATTTGCAGTTGAACGACTTGTTAAGAGTAAATAGTTGTTTATGCAGGAAAGCTACAGCCGAAGGTGATATAAGGCCTAATGCCTGTCTTGGATCATATTGTACTTTCATGCAAAGACTTCAACCAAAACTGAAGCAGTGGTATTGGGATGCCTACAGGGGCAATAACTTTGAGCACTATGTATTCTTCGGACCTCCAGCACGTGATCGACGGGCACTAGAGCATGTGCTCAGTCATTATGTTGGCAAAACTGATGAATTCTCTTTTCCTGATCCCATAAGCGGGACTATATTTTCAGTCCAATTTGATGAAGAGTGGGTGCAAACTCACACAGGCTTCCCTATTGATGGGGAATTGATCTACGGGAATAGAGACCCTCACAACCGGCTTTGGAGGGAATATTTTGAAGAGAAGAAAGAAATGCTAAAGGCAAAGTCAAAGGAGAAGGCCAAGGACACACAAGAAGCTGGTAGCATGAGGAGATATGTTGAGGAGTTACTGGAAACACTGGTTGAGTCTTCTGATAATAAGGACATTGAGGATTTTGTGCTGCTTCAGATCTTGTACCAGTGTGCAATGATTTGGTGCCCCAACAGCTCACAAGGCATTCCAAGACAGTTGTTTCAATATGTAGATAGTATTGAGAGAGTGAAGAACATTGCGTGGGGTAAATTTATTTTTGATGAGACGAAGAGAGGCATTCAAATTGCCGTTGAAGGGTTGAGGAAGCCAGGGGTTACATACGTACCTGGATGCATGCCGCTCATCCCTGTAAGTTGCATGACCAACTGGTCTGACATTTGTTTTAGTTAACATTAGTCTTGGTAACAGGCATTAGAAAACATGTACAATATTAAATGTTTACAGAATATGGTTAAAATTAACATGTTAACATGAACTTTAACATATAAAAATTAAAGTTAACATTAATAGGTGAAAGTTAACATGTTAACATGAACTTTAATATATAATTATTAAAGTTAACATTAATAGGTGAAAGTTAACATACCCATTAATGTTAACATGTTTTGGTGAAAGGTAGCTATTTAGAGTGTAGTTGAAGAATGAGTTCTGAAAGTTAACTATTTTGATATTCGTTCCTTCGATTCTGACAGCTATGGTACTATGAGATGATTGGTATTAAAAAACCAGCCCTAAACTTGAGATGGAAGCCTCCGATGACCAATTGGGTAAGGGTTGGAGGGACCGCTGGATCGTTGAGGATGGAGACAATTGTCTCTAAGGCCAAGAAAGCAAGCATTAAAATCATGGAGAAACCAATTACGTCCAGCATTGAATGGGGTGAAAAATACCCTCAAGGTGAAAAATACCCTCAACGGGAGCCTAGCAGGAAGAAGATTGAAATCGCTCGCTTTGGGAAAAAATAAGCCCAATTGTCTCATATAGGAGTAAGGTTATGGAGCAAACTAGGCTGAGAAAGAAGAATGAGGAAGAAAAGGTAAAGGATGGGAAGCAAGATAAGGTGAAGGGAAGGACAAAGAGCTCATCCATAGGTTACGTAAGCATCAATGACTCTTTACACATTCTTGCATATTTATATTGAGTTAAATTTTCTATCTTTATCATTAATTAATTTTCCATGTACTCATTGTTTCATGTTAACATGTTTTGGGTAAGAAAATTACATTGTGGATTCTCATAAATATTTTTTTAATATTGTGGATACATATGGGTAATGGGTATATGGTTTACTTTTCAGATTTTAGCCTAGCATATCAGAGATGCTTTTGAGAGTGAAGATGAAATAGAGAAGTTGACAACCGAAGATCAAATTCAATTTTGGAGGAATACCCAAAATTAATTGGAAACTGCTCCACACTGTCAAGCGTAGTAAGCGCCTTCAATGGGAGGAATGCTCTAAGGAGATACATAGGTGTAGGCGTATAAAATTGCTTATAGGTCCCTTAGCACAGCTCGGCACAAACCGACGAACCATCAGGCGACATATCCAAACACGAGCGTCAGTCCACAACGCCGAAGCCAAGTGACACGCAACGAATCGGATTAACGAGGCAACGAGGCTAACGAACCGCACGCAAACAATGGAATACATCCATTCGCATGCGGAATCAAGCTAACAGTTCGGTGAGTCAACGAGTCATCCAACCATAGAACGGATTTGAACTCAAACCACCGAGGCGGATTTACTGCCATATTAGGATTCGGACTGTCAAATCAGAGTCTGGATCAACAACGAAGCGGGTTTACTGCCAAATCAGGATTCAGATCAACAAATCAGAGAAAGTGGAAGAGGAAAAACATCCGAAGAAAGATGAAGAAATAGTGGTGGAGAACAGAGAGGGGGAATGTGCTGAGGAGAAGAAAGATGAAGAAAGGATGGAAGAGGAAGAGGAAAAAGGAAAGAAGCAAGATGAAGAAAAAGTGGTAAAAAACAGAGAGGGAGAATTTGCTGAGGAGAAGAAAGATGAAGAAAGGATGGAAGAGGAAGAGGAAAAAAGGAAAGAAGAAAGATGAAGAAAAAAGTGCTTGCTCTTCCAGATCCGGTGCTCGTCGATCGTCAACGCCAAATAAGGCAAGAGTTCGAGAGGACCCGGATCTCAGATCTACGTAGTCATCCTCCGGATCAAAGCTTGGCCTTTGATCCCGAGAACTAAAGGCTATTATTTCCTTGGCGAAATAGTACCCTCGGCTGTTATTTCCTTTGTGAAATAACTCCCGTCATACTGCGTAGATCTGACCGGATCTAGATCGCGGAGATTAGCGTCAAAGGGGACTAGGGGACCAAGTACCAGAAGGCGGACGCGCTCACAACTAGTCCGCACCCCTTTCACTCAAGAAAAGAAGAAGGAAGTTCATCAAGAGATAATTAACATATCACACCACAAGGAGGAAGAGAGGGAAAAAATCAGGTTCTATTGTAAGCCTGATGAATGCACTTGGGATTTTTTGGGGAAGAGGAAAATCAAGAAGAAGGAGGAGGCTCTTTTGAAGTTGCTGAACGAGGATATTCCTAACATTGATGATTTTAGCATACGTTTGATTGATAGTAAAGGAACCTTCATTCACAACTTTAGAGTACCTCAACATGTATTATCAAAGCTCACACCAGATGAGAACAGAAGGATCTCTGAGTTTTGCAATCAAAAAGCCCATCAGTAAGTTTAGTCATTCTGAATAACGTATGCTAGGACATGTTAGCTTTCATTGTTACGTGTTAACATTTCCAGGTTTATGTTAATTATTACCCATTTATGCTAACGTTTGCTATAAAATGTTAGCTTTCATCGTTACGTGTTAACGTTTCCATATTTATGTTAACTTATACTCATTTATGCTAACGTTTGCTAAATCATGTTAATATTTCCATATTTTTCTATAGTAAGTGGTTGAACGAGGTTTGGATCTTATTGTTATGTTTCAGGTCACACGTTATTGTTAACACATTCAACAGTAGTGTCGATTCATTGGAACTTCTTAATCTTCTACGTGGCGGCCGTATCGATGACCATGCAAGTTTGATATGTTAATCTCTTACGCATTTTATGAGATGACTGGGTGTTGTGTAATTTAATTTGTATCTGCTCCATGGTAAATTTACAGGTGATGGAAGCTCTTGTGGATAGGCTCGTCACATGGCTAGAGAGGCCAGATGTGGAGTCCATGGGCAACCAATATGGGGTTGTATCGACTTTCTTCTGCGTAAGCACCCAATTCAATCTCCTACCATTTTTATCTCATGTTTACAATTGGCTTATCATAATTTTTTGGCAATACAGCATAGTCTTTATGCAGTCACCCCAGATTTTCCACATCTATACACCTCTTTCATACAAAAGCATGTTGCCGCAAGGAAGAATGTACTCCTTATCCCGCTTGTGCGTCATGACCACTGGCATGTGGCTGAAGTAAGGTTGGATGAGGACGTTGTCAAGCATTATAGCTCGGCTGGCCATAGTGCATACGTTGAGCCAGTAAATAAAGTAATTGCATTCATGGACCATATGAAGTCTGGTTTCGATCCGAATAATATTTGGAGAAAGTTCCGATATGAAGCCGTCCCTTGTGAGCAACAGACTGGAATGTTAGTATTTCATGCATTTAAACATGTGTTAGTATGTTAACTAAATCTAAACATTTTCATTTTATTACGCATGTTATATCTAACTCTCTTGCCATCTTATATCATGCAACTTTGATTGTGGGATTTTCGTTCCTTTATATATAAAGGCTATAATTCATGGGGTAGATACCACTCAAGTAACTAATCACTCTGACGAGTCTGAAGTCATCCGTGCCAGGCTTGCAGCTGAACTCCTAATAGAAGGATGGGAACAGAAAAATCAAGGGGAGACAGTGGAAAAGGATGGGTGATTGATATCCTAAAAAGTGTTGTGTACGAACAGATTGAATTGGGAACAAAACTAACTGGCATTTTAATTTAGTTAACATTATTGCAGCTTTGTATCATTCTCTTTGACAGTTATTCTACTGTTTGTGTAACTGGTTGATAGTGTGGATGAGAAGATCCACATATCTGGTTGTGAAACTGGTTGCTATTGTAATCATTGCTAATAACAGGTTGAAGTGCATCACAGTTCATGTTGACTTATACTGATAGAACATGTTACTGATATATTGAGAAAAAAATATATATGTTAGCTTTTACATATTCCTCCTAAGGGTTAACAGATAACCTAGTACGCTGAAAGTAAACAAAACTGCCAAAAAATTGGTAAAAAACCCACTTTCAGTAAAAGTTAACGTATAATTCTGATAGTTAACCACTTTCAGTAAAAGTTAACATATAACTCGAGAACATAACCACTTTCAGAAAACGTTAACATATAACTCAGATAAATAATCACTTTCAGTAAACGCTAACGTAAAAGTCTAATAATTAACCACTTTTAGTAGAAGTAAACGTATAACTCTGATACATCACCCCTTTCAGAAGGGAAATTAACATAAATGTCACTAAAATTGACTACTTTAGTGAAAGGTGACACATAATATTTAACCACTTACAGCAAAAGCATAACAAACTGAAGTTTCTTCAGTTGATTTTCATCTTACAGATCACAATGTTGAAGAAAATTAGTACCATACAAAAACAACATAGGAAGAATGAGCAAAGTTTCCATTTTTCGACTTCACGGTTCGATTGCTTCAGTGCTTTCTTCAGTTGCTTTGTTTTGGTCGCTATCTCATCTTCAACGGGGACTTCTGGGCAGAATGAAATAATCTTACTGGGCATTGCATTCTCTTTGTGAGCCCAAGCAAAAAAATTGCATTGCATATTTGGGAAATTTGCACATCCCCAGAAGTATCTTCCTTTATTCTTCCCACTTTTGCACTGCCTCATGGGTGTTGGAATTTGACAGAAACAACATACCTCTTCTTGTGACTGAGATATCTCTGATGTTCTCATCTCACTCTATCAAACTCCAAGTGCAGGGAAGATAGAACATACATTTAAATTTAGCTTTGCTTTGGGCACATTATATATTGCATAAGGAACAATAAACTAGCCGTTGTAATATAGCTGTTAGCACAGTATGACTTTCAGTTAGCCGTTAGAACAGTGAATGAGATGTTGGACATTTGGCCAATTTAAAATCAAAATCTTTTAATAAAATCTAAGATGAACAAGCACAAATCCGTTAACATCTTTCAGCCTTGCTTTTAGATATTGCTAGCATGAAGAAAATGATTAGTCGATCATTATCACAGATTACAAAAGTCCACCACTATATACTTAACCACTTAAAAACAACCTTTGCTGTCTCATACAAAAGTATTGTTGTAAGAAACAGAAACACACTAGTCACCAGATGGGCTCGTTACAGGTTGCTCGATTGTGACCATCAACTTTGCACCGAGAACATTTGACTGGACGTTTGTAAATGGTTCTGTTGTTTATGCGTCTTGTTTTATTTCTTCCCCTCCTCTTAGTGGTAATTGGTGGCAAAATCTGTATTTCATCCCTGGACACACTCCGCTTCTCATAATCTGGGATGGGATATAATATTTCGTCGTAGCTCTTCTTAAACGCTTCTACGGACATGAACCAATCACAATATTGATATACGTCTCTTTTCATATAAATAATGACTGCACAAGCATGCACACAAGGAATACGGGTTACGTCCCAAGATCGGCAAGTGCACGTCCTCTTCTCCAAATCAACGTGAGTAGTTCTATGTGACTGCACTTCGAATATATCATCTCTAGATTGTTTAACCTCTAAAGTACGTCCTCTTTCCATATTTTCTCTAACAATCTTCTCAGCTTTAGGGCACAGATAGCTTGTCCACTTATCAGCCATTATCCGTCTATTGTTCAGGCGACTCATAATTTGTTTTCGGATATGCTCTACCATTGGCAGGATACGTAACATTCGAGCTTCACGTATCCAGCTGTTAAAGGATTCTGCAACATTAGAGGTTACATGACCATATCTGCAAAGCACAAAATAATTAATAGTATGATGGGCATCCAATATGTAATAAAATTAACACGTAACAACAAAACTTAACCTTTACTGCTCAAAGTTAACATAAAAACATCAGTGTTAACATATATTGCTGAAAGTTAACATATATCAGACAAAGTTAACCTATAGAAAGAAAAATTCACATATATGTAGAATAGTTAACATCAACTGCAAAACGTCATAATCTAAGATGAATGCATTACCTGATACCAGGGAAGAATGCATTCGCCCAATTCTCTGGCGAATAACAGAGTACAATCTCATATGCGACTGGAGCCATCTCATAAATTTCCTTCATGTAGTCGTTCCATTCCGCTATAGTGTATTTATAGCAAGCAGATTGGAGCAAACTCCCCAAAACTTGTGTGTCCTTTGCTTTCAATCCCAAATCCTTTAGCTTTGTTCTAAAATTTTCAACTAGGTGCAGAACACATCGTGAGTGGATTGCTTCAGGGAAATATTCTCTCACGGCTTCTCGAATCCCCTTGTCGGCATCAGAAATAATTACCAATTGGTGGGGAGGATTGTACGGGTCTAACCTTTCATACAGTATGGACCACAAGCCTTGAAGGAACCATCTCCAATTATCAACATTTTCCTGATCACATATACAATACGCAACCGGAAATATCCCTTGGTCTCCGTCGTATGCTATGGCGCTCAGGAGCATGCCTTTGTATCTGTCTTTCAAAAAGGTCCCATCCAAAAATAATAGGGGTCTACACCCATTTAAGAAACCAACGATGCAAGCGGCATAACATATAAACAGTCTTTTGAACCTTCCTTCATTCTGGTCAATGCATATGTAGCTTCCTGGATTCGTTTCCTTCACCTTTTGCTCATACCTGTACAACAATGTAGCTTCTGCTCAAGCATATATAATACATTGGAACATTAGGATAATATATTAACATAAAAGCTCACAAGTTTTCATAAAACATAACATTCCACAATGACAGTTGGAACATATCAATGAAAACTAACATGAAACATCTAAGGATAAGATATTGCATGATAAATCAACAACTAACAATTGTACTATAAGCGGCTATGATAAAAATTTGTACACTTAATAAAATAACTGTAAAATTTACCATCTTAATTGATCATAAGCCTCATAACTATCACCATACATATCCTCCTGCGCTCTTTCTTTGCCCCACCATATCTTACTGTATTCAAGTCTCAATCCATATCGAGTGAGGAACTCCTTTTGCACATCAATTGGTCGGATTTGAGGTCGCGCCTTTAATACCGGTCGCAATTGGGCTGCTATGAATTTACGAGATGCCCGTGATTGCCCTGAATTGTTAGCATGTTGTCCACAACTGTGTTCATTCACAAACCTTTTGATTTCAATTCTTTTACCATACTTAACAGGAGATGCAAAGAGCATCCAAGGGCATCCATATGTCTCCTTATATCGACAACATACTCGGATACGTTTGGGTTCGTTCTTTACAAATTCATAGTCAAATTTTTTCGCCATGGAATAGTACTGCAAAGCTAGTCTCAATTCGTTTACAGTCTCAAATTGTTGCCCCTTTTCAGTTAATGTTGTGTGCCACCATTGAGGAATGCTGGAAGTGTTGTTGAGAATATCATCAGCTCTCATTACAACCTCACCAGACGGGAAATCATTTTGGATTCTCTCTGAATTGGATGCATTTCCTGGAGGAGGACGACTATATTCTACATTCAAAGAGGCATCACTACTGCATAAATTAATCAACCAGTGAGATATCATGCACAATATGTTATATTATCTTCTGATAATTTAAGTTAACAGCAGTAGGACCAAAGGTAACATAGTACAACAAAAGTTAACTAACTGGGTGTAAAATTAACCATGTTCCCACGACAATTAACATGTTCATGTAAAGGTTAACATATCTCTTGGAAAATTAACCTATAAGATGAAGAGTTAACATCTAACCATCAGAGATGACAACTATTTTTTCCCAAGTTACCATCGAAACCTGAAATCACAATTGGCTTATCATCACACATAGACCTGTTCCTGACAGAGTTCATTGTTTACTTACAAATCAATAATAACTTACATTGAGGGATTTGATGCCCATAAGGGATGGTTGAAAGTTGAAGAAAAAAATAACAATGTTTACATCACACAAAACCCAATGTTATAAAGAGTTCATTAATTACTTACATTCCCCTAATAACTTTCTGATTTTTCCCTGAAGTGGAACACTCTACATTAACAGCAGCTTGCATGTGAATCTCCGTACAACCAATATTTCGATTGTGCTCCAACATGCACTTCAAATCATCATCGTTGTCAACTGAAAAACTGAGGTTGGGGTGCCTCTCAGATTTAAATATAAAGGATAAAGCTTCTTTAGGTACTTTCAATCTTTCAGACACATCAAATTGGAGTTCATCAAAGCTTGTTGTCGAACTTAGCTTCACGAATATGGCATTCTCGCCTAAAGAAACCATGCAAATCAAGTCATTGACGGCCATTAGGGGTGGTTGAAAGTTATGAGGACAGTTATGAAGGCAATTATGACGAGTTGAGGAGTAATTGAGGGGATTTCAGGTGCAAAAGGGCTGTAAACAGTTGAAAAAAACCCTAATTTCATTAATGAGAGAGTGAGAGATAAAACTAACCAATTTATAAACCCTTAATTCATTATGAGATCTCTTGGGCTTTATATAGGCCCCTACACAACTTACAAATAAGTCCCTAACTAATACTAATATGTCAACAACTATGACATGTGTGGCATGAAACTTGAAGCCTTGAACCAAGAACAGAACTAAAGAACCCCAAATTGCCACATTAACAGCTGCAACCTTTTGTGCCAAGGACATTTTAACATTCAACCAAAGTTTTATTAGCACAAACTTCAATAAAAAAACAAAACAAATCATACGGCAAGACAACCCCATTTTGAAATTAAGTGTTTCTTTCTAAAATAAAACCATAAATTTTATGGGTTTTCCCAAAATTATAATTGCACGACTCAAAGAAATCTAACAAGAATCCAGTAC